CTTCTGGCGCCCGTGGCTCCTGGCGGTGTACCTGCTATCCCTGCAACCGCAGCTGCTGCCTCTGGAACCTCTCCAGGTTGCGGGTGCGCCTGCTGGCCGAGTGTAGGTGGATGGTCCATGTGGGGTGGTGTGTTCTGCACTTGTAGGTGCAGCGGCGGCAGCAAAACAAGAGAAGTGGTCAGTAATCCCTGGGGACACAGTGGGTGAAACCCAGCCCCCCTCTGCAAGGCAAGGACGGCAGGTCTCCGCACCTGCTATCCCCGGGAGTTTGAGCTGGCCCCTTTGCTGCCTATAGTGTGGTGGGTGGGTGGGGGAAGGGAGATGTGCCCTTCCTGTGTGTAGAGGGGGCGTCTGGAGGGAGGGCAGTGTGCAATGTCACTCCCCGGGGTCAGGAGCCTGTCATGTGCCTTCACTCATAGACGCGTGTGGGGAACAGGCCAGGGCCCCTGCATGGTACCAGCCGGGGACACATGTCCTGGATGGCACGGCAGATGCACAGGTTGTCAAAGCTGATGCGCACTGTCCCTGGGTTCCTTCCTCTTCCCCCTCCAGCCCGCATAAAGGGACCACGATGGCACACACATGTGGAGGCCTCCCCGGCCTTGGATGAGGCTGTTGATGGGCTCTCCGGTTTGGCTTGGGGGTCCTTGGTGCAGGGCATGTTCCCTGAAGGCTCCTGGCTGCCATCGTCCTCCCCTTCCCCTGTGTCAGGGGTAGGGCCCTCTGCCCCAGGGTCAATGACAACCAGGGGGGCATAGACTGTCTGACCCCCCAGGATGCGGTCCACAGCCTCATAATGCAGGCAGGCATCTGGGTCAGCCCCTGGGTAGGAGGCCCTGGCATAGGCCTACTGCAGTTTTTTAATTTTGCTGTGCACCTGCTCCTGGCTGTAGACGGCCACATTCTTGTGCCTAGTGCAGAGATCATGGACATTGGAGGCCTCCCCCCAAACTTCAATTAGGCCCACGATCTCCTCACTAGACCAGGAAGGCACTCGCCTTTTGTGGCCCCTGGCAGGCTCCTGAGAGCTGCCAGCCTGGTCCAGCAGATTGCTGGCTCATGCTGTGCCAGGTGCACGGTCTGCTGGCTGTGTGCTGGCAGGCTGTCACAGGCACTGTGGCCAGAGTCTGCCCCTTTAAGGACTCCGGGACTGGCGGGGGAGAAGACAAAGTTTT